CAAACCTCTAAAATTATCAGCGTTTCTCTACTATATTATGCATATATTATACATATAAACCTTCTTCTTGAATTACTCTATCTATTAAAAAAAACCGCATCAAAATCCGTTGCGTAGTTTTAAAGATCTAAGCATACATAGGGACAGACAGCGGGAGAAATGCGTTGCATGATTTCGTTACATAGCAACTCGCATGAAACGGACTTACCCTACCGTGCGTAAAGAAATTTCACTTCAAAAAAGATAATATGAAATAATATAAACTGAACCGTTTGAATGCAATTTAACAATTTGTTTCCAGAGTCTACTAAAGCCAAACGCCTATATTGTTACTCAAGGGCCCACGGAAGAAACGGTTACAGACTTTTGGAGAATGGTTTGGTCAGAGAGAGCCAGTTGCATAGTTATGCTCACAAAAACCTTTGATTTCATCAAGGTAGGCTCATGAAAGGGACATTTTTTTACGATAAATTAGTGAAATATAATCATGGAAGTTGTGAAAAACATTAACAACTTCTTTATATATTTCATTGTACTGTATATATTGTACTTATTACGTACCATGGTGCCTACGGCATTACCTCCCGAGGATAAAAGCGGCAAATTCCCGGGAGGGGTTACCGTACTTTCTTTCCGAGACCATAATCGATTTTTTGCCATACCTCTGCCCCGGAAGAACGATTTATCCTGATTTTAGGGATGAGAAAACCTACCAGGGAAGAAATCATATTTGCTATTTATTAGGGAAGTATTTTTAAATCTTTTGCACGGAAATTGATACCTGTTTAAATAACTCGCGAAGGATGGTAAAATCCTCTCTTAAGAAGGAGTAATTACTCGGGAACTGGGGAAGGAATGTTGTATATTCATCCCTAAAATCAAGGAAAATAGATCGTACTTTCGGTACGGATATGGTAAAAATTTTATTTCTACCGTTGCGAAGAAGAAATGTCACATAAAAGATGAGAATGGGTTTCTATATTTAGATATCTCGGTCCATTAAAATCCCTTTTAGAAAACGATTCAATCGTAAACGTCCAATATTATACTACTATTCCTCCTGTTTAAAATAATGATATTAGGGGTTCAAAAATGGTATAAAACCCGGTAACCTATATTTAGAAAACTCATAAAGCTTCTAGGAACAAATGAAATACGTTTTCCAGGTAATGTGTGTTCAATATTGGCCAGCTTCGAAACAGATAGAAGAAGTTTATGGTGATTTAACAGTTTCTATAGTTCAAGAAGAGGAACTAGCTAATTTCCACATACGGACATTTAGACTAAGAAGAAAGGAATTCGAAGTAAGTTAAAGAATTCGTCGAAGAAATTTTGTAGCTCTGCCTGTACGCATAGGAAGAGAACTCTAAAAAAAAATCAGACATAAAAAGTCACTTCACTTATTAAGTTATATCGTGTAGTCAAAAATTTGATATTAGTAATACTTCTCGATTAAAAAAGATGCTGAAGGCATATGATGAAGTATGAGAAATCAATATAGACGCTAACAACTTAAACTGGCGCCGATTGAATATAAAACTGTTGGCAATTTATTTTTGAAGTTTATGAACCAACCGCATTAACATCAACCTAAAAGAAGTGGCCCATAAAGCACTTTAGAACAAAATTTTATTTATATCATTCGTAATTTCGATCATTATTCTAAGAGAATTTAGAGGGCATTTGAAAGTTAAAAAACTTTACTTTTTTCAAGATAGGGTTAGACATTAGTTTAGATAACAGCCAACCTAACATCAAATCCACCTCATCATTATCATCACCATTAAAAGGTCGTCAGTCCCACAACTGGTTGGGCACCTTTACTTTGTCCCATCCTGATCTAATCCTCGCATTTCCCTAAACCAAAACATCCCACATTCTTAACTATTTGTGAACAGTAATCTAATCTAGGTCTACCTCTTTTAGCTCTTGCTTCTGCTTCAAATATATGTCTAACTAGTCCTTCTTCATGCCTGAGAAGGTGTTCCACCAATCTATCTCCCTTTTTTGTTTTCCTATTCCTTCTAATATCTCTTCATTTCTAACCGTCTCTATCCACGGTCTCCCCATCATTCGCCTCTAACCTTATCTTTTCCAGTGTGCCCGACGTCCATGTTTTGCACCCGTACAGCGTCGCGCTCCAAACATACACCTTTAACAATCTTTTTCGAATTTCTAAATTAACCGTTCGTAAGTATTGGGCATACACCATCTGGTGGCAAAATTTATATCTCGAATGAGGGAAAAATTTACATAGGAACTGTGCACGCAAATTGTAAAATTGTTTATTAAAATAATAAAACACGTTAAAAAAGTAAAAATTTTTTTGATGATGGAGTCGACGAAGTTTTCTTCTAAAGTTAAATCAAATAAAAAGTTAATATGTTCAGTGAAAAGCTGCAATAGCACTTCAGACATAGATCTTCACTCTTCACCTACATTAACTACTTTCCAATAAAAACTAACCGTTTTATATATGTAAAAAATATATTCGGAAAATTAGAGAAAAAAGTAAACTAATAGAAGCTTGGATGAAAGCAGTAGGTATCAAAGAAGTGAATTCCGGAATAAAAATTTGTTCACGTCATTTTAATGCACATGATTATATTTCAGCAAGTATTTACCATCAGCCATAACCTTAATATTTAAAACTAGAATCATACTAAAATTATAAAGTGAGAAATTATTTATTCCTGTGTAATTGATTTAACACAATTCTAATGATACGATATAAGTATTTTGAGGTTAAGAACCTACCTGCTGCAATACAACAAAGTTGCAATAATGTGTTTGCAACGTTCTCTTAAATCGGCTTTGCACGTGCAAGTCATTGATATGATATTGCTTAAATCACCCAGAATCACCTCACCAATTATATAACGTGAATCACTTTTTAAATCCGAAGTTTGTAAAAAGTAGGCAGTAAACTTGACGGAATTTGAAGGCTAGCTTCCGGATTTGTTATTTCCGAATTTTATAATGTGATTGGCATTAAAAACACGCTCACCTTCAACGAAATTTCCTTTCCGAGGCTTTGTGTCAGCCCAATCACATATTGTGTCAATACTTATCATTTTATCGTAATTTAAAAACTTGGAAATTGCACGGTACACTATAGGAACTGTAAATTTTCCCTAATCGGCGCCATGTTTTTAGGCTCCTCCCATTTGACGGATCCCAATAGAAATTACTATTTTTTGTTAAATGCGACTCGACCCTGCGCTCTCCTCTGTTTTATATCTCTAATGTTCTTTCCATCTTGACTTCTTAGATACCGAAAATCAGCTGCTTTAACAATATTTAAAGAACTTCAACAACGGAACTGCCATAATTTAATTTTGTTTCTGTTTTTAGAATGTGGTGGAAGAAAGGCTGATCTTGCAATTTCATTTCACAGAATGGCATAGTCATACTTGTCCGTTTATTAATGCTATACTTGAATTTCGTAGAAGAGTTAGGGCTGTTGTTGGGCACAGAATAAAATCTAATGAAGCAGGACCTATACTCGTCCATTGCAAGTAAGTGAAAAACTAGTAGATTTAAGATGTGTCTTGTCGTGGGACCAATTTCATGGCGACAGAAACTGGTAACAGGACATAAGGATTTTTAATCGATGCTGCATACAGTTAACGTTTGAAGAGAAAGGGAGAAACACTTAATTTAATGTTTTCGAATTTTCAAAAATATATTTCCGAGTTATAAATGCTTGTTTATTGTATATTAAGGTTGATGTAGCAACATAATCGATTTAGCGTTAAATCTACAAATTTAAATTATTAAACATCATTAAAATATTTGGAACACTTCCAAGCCCTTATGCTAAAATTAATTAGGATATGCTGGTAAAACGTATTTATTAAAATACATCAAAGGCACTCAATAAATTATTTATTGCTTTTTGCTTTGTTAATATGCAAATACTTGTTGGCATTGTAAAAATAGCATTAAAATTGTGTTTTCGTTTTATTGCTACTGTATGGAGATTTTTGTCGCAAAAACTCTTGTTGATATATATGATAAATTAGGTCCAGTCAATTCGCTATATTCGTATCAAGATTTGAAATATAGAGAAAATCTCTTCCTCTGATAGAAAGACGTTTGAATGATTTATTCTGCACTCAAGTTTTTGAAATGTTACTTTGCAGTCTGTCCTATAAATCAAATTTCGAACTTAATTCTACTTCCCATCTTGGGGTTTCAATCTATTTCGCATACATTCATATATAAAGTATTTCTCCGAACGTTTTCGAAGATAACCCGCAAAGCAAACAAGCCAATAAATCATTTTTCTATCGAAAGACAGGAGGAGACGTGGAGTTTCCTTCTCTCATACATAAAAAGGAAATTAGTTTACGGAAAATCTACGTAAAAAATTTTCTGAAATCGTCTGCTTTTTGTAGTGACGGTGGGGGGCGATCAGGAGTTTATCTTGCCATCGATGCAAATCTGGAACTCGGCGAAGAGGAAGATGTTTTCGACGTTTTTGGATATTTGAAAAAATTACGGCAAGCACGGAAAGGATTAGTGGAAAATATTGTAAGTATCGAGCTTCCTTTAGATTTTTAAATTATTTTAGCTGATGTATTAGTCTCGGTTTTGCTCGGATACTTTTAGTCTTTGTCTTGTTGATATCGATGGCGTTACGACAAAAAGGTGTAAGCGCCAAAAAATGAAAAACAAGATTTTAATGTCAATTTAAGTAAAGTAACTCAGCTAATCATCTAATATAACCGCTGCAAGCGACAAAAATTTCCTTCGTCAATAAATTGAGCTAAAATTTTTGTAAGCGACAATTTCATTTGAATATTAATACGCAATTTCATTGTTGGTAATGTTTACCATCAAAAAACGCGTTTATACTTCTACAAAGATTAACTACTTTCTGTAAAATACTATTCCAATATTAGTTTTAATTAGTCGCTTAGGCCTTTTCTTTTTCATTGCTTTTTAAGATGAATATTAAGCAATGAAGAAGAAATAATAAATTTTTACGTTAATTTATTAAGGGTACATATTTTTTGTTGCATTATTCTTTGGACTTTATTTGTTACACTTAATTTTTTAACAATTTCATTTCCTTTAGTTTTGTAACTTACAACTTTTACTTTTATGTTAATTTTTTTGAAGTTATGACAATTTAAGAAATTTTTAATTTTATTAAAGAGAAGTGTGTTCAAATAAAATANTTTGAATATTAATACGCAATTTCATTGTTGGTAATGTTTACCATCAAAAAAACGCGTTTACACTTCTAGAAAGATTAACTAATTTCTGTAATAACTATTAGCTCTCGATAGTACTCTAAGAAAAGTGAAAGGCTTATGGAGGGCCTAGCCGCCATTACAAAACCAAAGGCATCCTATTTAAGAGGCTTATATCTCCAAGAAAAGGGCGCAAAAGTCAAACAGACGTACTTAAAGGGCGTAAGCAACATATTTTAAAATAGATATGGATATTACGTAAAATTTGTCTTTTAATGAACAAACCGGTATTTTTTATCATAGATCACTTTAGAATTTCAAAGAAAGCAGTTTAAAAAATACTATTAAAACAAATTAACAGTTTTCACCTGATAAAGTTGGAGGATGTCGCTTATGCCTTTTTGTCGTGACGCCATCGATATAGTCTCCTTTTTTCTGTCTGCCGGCGCACTAATTGTCTTAAATGCAGAGATTTTTTTTTGTCATATGCGAGCTTGTCATGACTTTTAAACAAAATACTGTCGATAGTTGTCGATAACTTACCCTTCCTTTATTGTATAAATTGACCCTTCCTCTAACACATACAGTTACTATTTAGCAGGCAACAGTACAAGGTACTTGATAGAAAATTTGAAACACTATAAATGTTTGTTGCAATAAAAAAATGCACAGTAGAACCTCGATTAGATAAAAACCAAGGGAAACGTAAAATAATTTGAGTTATTGAGGTTTTTACTTGCTAAGTGTTTAAGTTTAAGCTTTAATATTATGGATTTCCAGTGACTTAGCAAACTCTTCAGTTTTTTCCTTTAGTATAGGTCCACTAACACTAATGTTTTTACATATTTCTACACTGTCTAAACCATGTAAACAAACATTTTTCTAAATTAGGAAATTCAGCGATTCTTCGTCTTTTACATAGAAAATTTTCTCCCCGATTCAAACCACTTTTCACTGCATACTGAGGTGCGATGCCCAAATTATTCGTTTAAGTTATAGAGGGTTTTTATTTTAAGTAATAGAGGTTTTGGACTCCGAGGGGAAGGAAACACAAAATTTTATAAATTCATAGAGATTGTTACGTTATCGAGGTTTAAGTTATCAAGGTTCTACTGTATTAAAGTTGCTCCAAATGGTTTTACTCATAAACTCACCGAAAGTAATAATTTTTCGTTTACTCTTGCATATTTGATCTTTGTCATGCATATTCAGTAATAGTTTTAGTCTTGGTCTTGTTCCTTCGGTTTTCATTTTGCGAAAATACAAGACCAAACTCAATTTTGCTAGTACCATTTAAAAAAAGTATATCTGCCAACCAATTCCATTTTTTAGAAGCTTGTTACGTTTTTATATTCAACTTTTAGAAATAATATTTCTAAACCACTTGAAGGTCTCTCAACAGTTAAATGGAATAAAAACTCGATTTAGCATATTTATAAAATATGAACTTTAATAAACTGAGCGAGAAGTCTCTTGAATATTAACACCTTCGTCGCTTGGGTATTTCATTTAAACGCAAATTTTACTAAATTTCTTACGAGAAATTTTAACTGCAAATAACGGTTTCTCGACTTCTGTAAAGTCAACATAAAAGTGTATAGTACACCATAAAATTCATTATTAAAAAATACATACAGGGTGTCTCTGTCACCGCAAATATTTCAAATCGAAAAATTCAATGTTTTCTTATACTACTGTAATAATAAAATCAGAGATTAAAAAATGTTAGGATTGAAATCATCTAAAAACTCCTAATTACTGTTTCGCGAATAAATAAAAACCATTTTTTGTTTGTTATAGGACCAATACAAATTCATATACGATACTTTAGAGGAGCACGTAACCTGTGGGAATTCGTGGTTCCCCGTAAGTGAACTTTCTCAAAGACTGAAGCAAAAATCGGTAAAGGATCCCGTTACAAAAATGAACGAGTACCAGAGGGAATATTTACTGATATGTAAACAGACCCCCAGATTCACCATTGGCGATTGCGCCGGAGGGCATCGCGGGGACAACAGGAAAAAGAACAGGGATGTCCTTATTGTTCCGCGTGAGTAAAAAAACGTTTTTAAACAATAAATAGTATAAAAATATATTATTTATGAAGTGGTCTTTATGTAATTGACACTACGTTTTCACGACCAGAAATACAACTGTCCTAACCTAACAAAATTGACAGTTGCTGCATATCATGCTAAAAACATCGACTTCAACAACTGACTGTCGCGTAACACGGAATACTTGATAATTTAAGCTAGTTTATACAGTAATAATAAAGAATGAACAGAAAGGACCGCTACGTAGGGTATTACGACAGCTTTTAGGGACGAATGAACGTTATTTATTAATGTCATAAAACAAAAAGAATAATAAAAAACGGATATCGTGGTAAAGCATTCGTTTGAAGGGATAGTCCAGGGCTGCGGGCAAGAAATATTAGCAAATGTGAACTGACTCGAAATGAGAGCTTTTTACTGACAATGAGTATTATTTCTTTGATGGAAGCTGCCAGATGTAGACTTAAAATTCTATTTCTACAAGTCAAGTCCGGAATTTCACCGATTTAATTAAATTACTTTACCAAATCAGCTGTACCAAGCCAAGCAGAAAAAGGGAAATTCATTCGCCGTTGGAATGACTGAATTAGTTTATTGAAAAGGCGACTGGAAAACAAGGAACAGGACCGAATTTAAACAAAAATCTTTAATGGCATTGTTTATATCCGACAGTTTTTGATATCAACAAATAAAAATTGCTTGATATTTCATTTCATGAAATGCGACTTTTACATAATTAAATCAAATGCATAAATTTGCTTCGCATTTATATAATTTTTTTTTTCTAACTTAATAATTTCACATGAGACAAAATATACTCCTAATAAGTAGGGATACTTTTTTAGTTATAAAAGTGTGATTTCTGTGTTAGCTGGAAATCATGTTTGTTAATTATTAAAAGAAAACTAGGGCAGCTTGAAAATCTTATTGCCAAGTGTCTCATTATTTTTAATAAGAGAGCTGACTGCTTTTCTTCCCTAGCACAAAAGTAATGCTACAAGTACCACCACGACAATGCTTGCTGAATTATTACGTTCCAAAGTTACGACCTTGGAAAATCTCGCTCTCTACCCAATTACGCAAGAATTTAAAGTTGGGGAAATTGTCTAACTTTTTTATTCATTACAAATGCTTTTTTTTGTATATGGAACATAAGGCCATTAGAATTTGAACCTTTAATTAATTTAGTTTTTTTTTGTTTTAAGCTGACAATTTCCGTCCTTACTTAACGTCATTCCAAGGAAACAGTTTTACTGACTATATTAATGCAGTATTTGTGGATGTAAGTATTTCTTATATGGTATCCAACATATATTCATTTTACGCTTTTACCGTTATATTACAAGGCATAAAGCCCCTTATTAGAGTAATAAATTCACAGAATTATACTTCATTTACTTTCTCTAGAGATATGACCCTTTCAATGTCTTGGATGCGCGCTGACAAAATCGTAGGTAGAGAGAAAAAAGCTCATTATACTCTCGACTCTTGTTCATTAAATATACTTTTTCATACAGTACCTGCCAAAAGTTTTGTTCAATCGTGAATTGTAGTTCGAATCGAAAACAAGCGTTAAAGCCTTTTATATATCTTCAAATATAAATAAACATCTCGTTGATATTTTCAATAGTAAATGGTACTAATAACAGCACATTTGAGCAATGCAATTGTAGTGGATAAAATGGTCAATTTTTCCGTGCAGTACTGTACGGATTATACGCTCCTCACCGGTTGAGAGTTTGGCCTCCTTCCTTTTCTGGCCTAGTGCTGTTCTTTTCTACTTTGCGCCGGTCAAACTGAAGGTCACATCGCTACAAAAAGTAAACGAAGTATACTTAATCTAAAGAAAAGGCTTGTGCAGTCGTAAAAATCGTTATTAGTTTTGTAATATACTCAATAACAATTTATGATCGCAAATTAAATATAATTCGACGAACTACCCACTAGGCGCATATAGACTGAGGGGTTAGCATAAGGGGTAATGTAACACAGTTACAGTATATCCAATAAACAGGGCCGGTGAAAGAGTTTCAACACGTATATGGAATGAATGAGTAAAGGTAAAAAGGGGGTATGAGATGAATAAAATTAAAACAAAGTAGTAACTGTGCGTACGTAATTTCAACTGATGGTTAGTAAATACCTTCCATCTCAAAATAATCTCAGATGCATTTTTTAATGTTTACGTTATTCATATAATAATACAACAAAAATAACGCCGGAAAGTTCTTATTTGGCACCGCACTCGAAAAACCTTTTGCACCATGAGATTCTACGCACTTTTTTACATAGATATCACTTGTCATGGCTTAATAAATACCTTCCATCTCCTTATAATTTAACGAGCGCTTTTTTATGTTTCAATTATTTTTACATAATTTAGTTAAAATAAAAGGGGTGTATTTATTTGACACCGCACCCGAAAACCGTTGGGGTGTGGAATTTGCTATATTCCCAGTAAGTCTTTCGTCGGACCTGCCTCTAAAAATTGGTCAACTTTAAATGATTGTCTACGATTAGGAGATTCATCATCATCATCATAAGGTCATAAGTCCTAAGACTGGTTGGACACGCACCTCCACTCTTTCCTATCCTGAGCTAAACTTCGCATTATCCTAAAACTAGAACAACCCACATCCTTAACTATTTGCGAACAGTAATCTAATCTAGGTCCACCTCTACCCCTCCTAACTCCTGTTTCTGCCTGTAATATGTCTTTGACTAGACCTTCATGCCTGAGAAGGTGTCCTACCAACCTATCTCGCCTATTTTTTACTGACTTCCATAGAGCCCTCTGTTCTCCTATTCTTTCCAATACCTCTTCATTTCTAACCTTTTCTACCCACGATATCCCATATCCGCCTATAACACCACACTTCGAACGCTTCTAACCTTTTCTTTTCCGCCGCGCCCACTGTCCATGTTTCGCACCCGTACAATGCCGTGCTCCAAACATACACTCTTAACAACCTTTTTCAAATTTCTAAATTAACCGTTCGCGAGCATAGAAGTGACTTCTTTTTAGGAGATTAATAAATTTTATATGAATTACAAAATCGAAAAATAAATTAAGTTTTGTTTCGTTGTGTTTTGTAAAAAACACTCTTGTTGAAAAGTAAACTGAAAATTCTTCTAATTGGATTTAAATAAAAAAAACGCAGTTTTTGGAACGTCATGCGATGTATCCGAATTAGATCTATAACCACCCCTACATTTACTTTTTTTTTAAAGGGTTACACGAAGCCCAGGGAGTATATAGTTACAGAATGGCCTGTAAAAATGACGTTGGGTGAATTTTGGTCTTTGGTATATGATTATGAATGTTCAGCTGTTGTTGTCTTATGTGTTCCACCCCATAATTCAGTAAGTTAATAATTTATTTGATACTAATTATGATTATTAATCATAGTATTTCAAATAAACCATCTATAAACAACAAATTAAATTATTTGTGTTCGTTTTTAAAGCAAACGTATCCATCATTTTGGCCCGAGGGTAGAACATCAAAAAAGTACGGCCCTGTATTCACGATAGACCACATTTCTCATAATCACTACACGAATATTAAGACATGGCTTTTCAGAATAAACAAAAAGGTAATTTTCTAAAATTGACTTCAACTATCGAAAACGAAGCCCTTCGTAGTATATTAATGAGCTTATTTCGTAGATCGTCTCTTTAACCGAATTAATGGCTGGGGTGAAAGCTCCCCCTCGAACTGTTCAGTTATTCCAGTTGACCTGTTGGCCTATGGGTCACAAAGTACCCACTTCAACGAATTCTTTAGTGGAATTAATGAACATGGTTGAGAGGTGGAGACAAAGAACTGATTACGGACCTGTGTGCGTTGTATCACAGTAAGTCAATTAATTAATTAACAAAATAACCATTCCGAAAATAAAATAAAATTGAGAATTATAAAAATTATTTGAAAAAAAAACAATCGATATACAAGGGAACATTAAATATTATTGTTTTGTTATTTATAAACTACCTAAAACAATAAATATTTACGTAATTTTCAATAAAAATTTGAAGAGATCAAGTACACTTCCCTATGCACCGGGGTTGACTAACTTAGAAATGCATAATTCTACTGTTTTAAACCCATTCGAGGCACTTGATTGGCTGCCTATCGCCACACTACTACGGCAGCCAATAGGAAATTAGGTCAATCAGTGTACCTGTTTTCTGGGGAATCCCCATTGTATGATGTTGTAAATAAACAAAGGCCATTCGCCCCAGGGGCAGGCGCCACCCTATAAAACTTTAAACATTTATAACTACGTCATTTTAAAACCGATTTTGCTGGGGTTTTCACAGAAATGTAACAAATTTATTTAAGAAAATCATAATTAGAAAAACAAAAAGAAAACAATACTTCACTAACTAATTTTGACTTAAGGGATGGAAGGAGTAGATGTGGGGTTTATTGTGCCGCAAACGCTTGTATAGAACAAGTGGTCCAACATGGGGAAGTCGATATTTTCCAAGCAGCAAGAACTGTGAGAAGGCACAGGCCTCAACTGATAGAAAACATCGTGAGTACATTAAAAAGTCACCGTCATTTAACGTAGACCGTACTGTAACTATTGCAAGTGTTTTGTTTTTTAGACTGAATATAAATATTGCTATGACCTGGTGTTACATTACGTACTCCATTATCTCAACAAAGATTTGAAAGAGAAAGCTAATAAAGATGTGAAAGAAAAGGGGCCTAGCCAATCTGGACATTCAAATGGCCAAAATAACGACATGGCGCACACGAGCAGTCAACAGCAACTGAGTAATGAATCTGTTCAACACCTTTATCAAATCGATCAATCAAGTAATCAAATGAATCAATTGAATTTTAACGGTAACATTCAAGTTGATAATAGTGACCATCAAAAGGACCGACAAAACGGACTTTCTCAACAGGGTTATTACCACCTCAACAATACTGATCATAGGGTGAAAAATTAAACGTAATTCCTCCCATAATTAAGTTGTGTACTTAATTGTAATTATTATTATTATTATTATTGTAATATTATATTTGAATGAAACGTAATTGTCTATACAAATAAATGTACCTACCTATTGGTAAAATTATATTTCTACCATGAAAATACTATTTATGAATATATATGTAGGTATACACGCATAAATAATTTTAAGGCATGTGCTGCATATTTGTTAAAAAAAAAGAAAGCTTCATCTCCTTTATTTTATTTTAACAGGCTTTACTTTTTAATTGTGACAAACGTTATTTGTTTTTTGAATTATTCTAAGTCAATTTGCATTTTTCTACTTATACGTGGATAGAAAAAAGTAGCCAAAAATAGGAACAAACTGTGGTATTACTTAAATAATTACTTAAATGACTCTGTACGTACCTATATGCGTGTCATATTTTAAGAAAATGTGTTAAAATATACCTAATCCTGCTCTGTTTAGTGATATGCGTAAAAAAAGAGAAGATCAAACTTTTCGACTGTATACTGTTAGTAAAAATGTGATATCAAATTATTATGATGTTCAACTTTCATTTAAAATCGTACAGGTACTTCGAAACAATTAGGTGTCGATTAGAAAATGTTTTAAAAACAAAAGAACAGCAATATGCCAAAAATATCTAGACTTAAAGACCTATAATGTCAAATACCTACATAAAACTATAACTAATTTATAAAATTATAGCAAGAATATTACAGAAGATATTTTTAAAAATAAATTATACACTTCTTTATTCAGTTTGTAACAGGACCGTATCTAAAGCAATGGCGTAATACGCAAAGTGCTTTCCAAATTTAAATAATTGTGTAACTCCATCGTAATATTTCTTATATTACCGCGAATATTTTTTAGTCTGCGGGATTTACGTTGCTTGGAAAGAAAAGAATTAAATATTGGCTGTGAAATGGATGTTTATATACTTGATGATTAGAAATACGTATAATTTTTTATACTTTGAAAATAGAAAATTATCGATATCCCGGTATGGCGAGGATGATACAAATTATGAATGTTCAGCTGTTGTTGTCTTATGTGTTCAACACCATAATTCAGTAAGTTAATAATTTATTTGATACTAATTATGATTATTAATCATAGTATTTCAAATAAACCATCTATAAACAACAAATTAAATTATTTGTGTTCGTTTTTAAAGCAAACGTATCCATCATTTTGGCCCGAGGGTAGAACATCAAAAAAGTNGGATGTTTATATACTTGATGATTAGAAATACGTATAATTTTTTATACTTTGAAAATAGAAAATTATCGATATCCCGGTATGGCGAGGATGATACAAATTATTTGGTTATTAATAAAAAATTGTACTATTTATACGAAATATAAACTATTTTATAATATTAGTTAGATATTTACTCATACAATGTTTTAGGAAGGCGTTTGTTAATAAATATAATTATAAATTAAACATGCACCCTATTCATTTTTGTCAATACGAATTGACAGGGGTGGATTCAAATAAATTTATCAAGTAGGTAAAACGTGAGGGTACCTCTTGTCTTGAAAGTGCCAACAGAAGAAAAATGTATTTAATTCATTTGTTCTATTACCTTGTTTCGATATGTTTAACAATGTGAATTAACAGGGTCCTTTTGTTAGCCAATAAGGAAAATCAAATTCATACATCCGTCAAGCTTTATGATGATAAGGTGATCATGTTTTGTCATCTTGCATATATATTACAAATTACGATTCAACTATTTGATAAATATTTACGTAAAAAAGTACTTAATGATAACAATTTCGTCCCAAATTAAAAATGTATGATGCATCTGTATATAAATAAATGTAATTTATCTATTATTATTAGGTAATAAATGTATAAATGTTTAAGGAACAATTTTTTGTTTCAATGTTGACATTTTATTTTGTGACGTTGACCAGTTATTAAAACGGTAATTGCAAGAGGTATTTTTAGGTACCAAGCCCGGACCTGACCATTTAAATACTGTCGCATTTACTTCAACTTTAATTAAAATAGAGTAAAAACTTACCAAAACCATTCTAACACTGCAGTATTTGGACAAACCTCGTACCTACGTCCATCTGACATTGCCCAAGGACAATAAACACTCACTTTGTTATTTTAAAGTTAATAAACACAAAATAGAAAAAAGCAGTCACATGTAATCTGATTTTGGAAAAAGTATATTTTCCTGAAGCGATTTTGCGATTTTCAGTAAACTCTCATTAATAAATTCACGTAAACTAATACGAAATACACAGAGATAAACACGAACGCGTCTCGAACTGTTTAAACGAAATGAAAAGATAATAAATCAGCTGGTTGAAGCCAATGCTTTTAAAACTTCCTAAATATTAGTCACTTTTACATACAAATCATCACTAGTTGATATACATTTATATAAATGAAAATGAACTTTTTTTTCCACGTATAGTATTAATTACAGATGTTTATTTAATTATCCTTCAATACGCACCTGTAAAATTTTCTCCAATAAAAAATGCAATTAAGTTTACAAAAACATTAACTGTTGATAAGAATATGAATATTTGATAAAAATATTTTTAAGGTTTTTTGATAACTGCATTAGCTATATCAAATTTAAATAACAAAAGTAGTGATAAAATAATTTTAGGCCTTTTTTATATAACAAGCGCATTTTTTTTTTTATTTCTGTGTATATCTTGTTATAGCTTCAATTAATACAATTTTTGTTAAGTAATATGACCGTATTACTATCGCGAAATATTCATCTGCCAAAAATCGCAACTTTTTTGCGCAAAAATTCATCTATTTTCATGGGGCGCACGCGTGAGCCGCACGACCAGTCGCTCCGCAGTCTTTTTTAATGAACATAGAATATATGATACTAGTACCTAAACTTAAACAATTAATGTATGGATATTAGATATTTTAAAGTGTCTATTATCCTTAAAACTGCTATTTCATTTACAAATATTTATTAATTACTGTTTTACTATACTATATTTACAAATTTTACTAAAGGAGATCTTCATCCAACATGATATTACCCAATGTCCCATTTCTAAAACTCTTAATCACATATTTGGCAGCATGAGTTAAATCAGGCTTAATTACATACTCATTGTTTGTATTCCGCATTTTTAAAACCTTGTTCTGTTGTTTTGCAATTTGTACAAGAACATTTAAAATATCATCTGTGGCTCCTTCTAGATTAAAGGCTTCGACATAGTTTAATTTGTTTTGTTTATTTAACCAGTAAAGCAAATAATCTGCAATAATGGGCTCTCCAACGAGATGGTCCTGAACTATGGCACACAATGCCAATTTCAACCAGACTTCAGCATTGTCCACTTTTGGTATAGTTATACCTGGAGTGTCAAACAGAAAGAATAAAGGGTCATCACAAATTTTTATTTTTGTTTGAACACTTCTTGTAATACCCGGTGCAGCACCAACAGCTGCAGCATTTGCTCTGTTCAGGAATATGTTCCTTAGCTTATTTATTAAAGAAGACTTTCCTACATTTGGAACTCCAATTATCATTACATTATAGTCTTTATCACCTTCACGGTTGTACCTGTCTGATGAATTTATGAGCTTCTGCACTAAGGAAAATAACTTTTTAATGCTCGAATCAGATTGGTCTTTACAATTAGTAAACAATACATGTTCGTTCTCATCACGTAAACGTTTTTGCAGTAATGGCAGAAAACGTTTTTCAATCATATCCACTTTGTTCAGCACTAAAACATGGGGTTTTATTCCGCTGACAGTGTATTTGAAATTTGTATTTCTTCCTGTAAATGGTATTCTCGCATCGTGAACTTCTATAATACAATCTACCATTTTAAGTTTTTGTTGCATTTGCTTTAGCCCCCTGTCCATATGACCAGGAAACCATCGTAATAATTGTTTGTCGATTGCTCCAAAAGTACTTCTAAATGTTTCTGTACATTTTTGGGCCATTACCAAACTCCTTTAGTTAGCATCCTTTAAACATGTAGATTAGTCGTATAATGCTTGTTTATTTATAAATTACTTACTGTTTTGAATAGAATAGGATACAAATAACTATAACATAACCTCTGATACTCAAGTTCGGTATCTTTAGCCATTATTGTCCAGGGTGCCTATTGTCTGACTGTATCCTAGACACATTTTTTTTGACGTATCGTTTTGAATATCTAACCTTACATAATAATCCTACTAACCTTTTCTTTTTAAATGTAAATTATTAGTCAAATAGATGTAAATTACATGATTTAATCTTTAAATGCAAATGACATGGATATGAGATAACATTTAGGAATAGTGATGAAGAAAAATAACATTTACTTTCATTCTCTTGGGAGGACTTTTAGAAAGCAGACTGGACAAAAAGTGTGTTAGTAGGACATAAAAAGTGTGCCTGTTGAAAATTTTAACTGTTATATTTGTGTAAAGAGCTAATCCTTCAAAATGTTTGCGAGATTATCATTTTATCCCACGTTAATGTATAATTTGATAATGGAAAGAATTTCTTCCCGAAATTGGTACGACAGGATTGACGATTTTGTTATCTTGGGAGCCTTACCATTTCCATCCATGACTGAACACGTAAGGTTAAAATATCAGCCATAACATTGCTCTAATCTTTGATAATTGTATTGTAGTTGGTAGAAAACGAAAATGTTAAAGCTGTAATATCAATGAATGAAGACTACGAATTATGGTTTGCTAATGATGGGAATGTGAGAACAACTACATCAGGTAATTATTTTAAGGAATTAACAAGAATGTTGTTGGCATTTTAGAAATGGAAAGAAGCAGGTGTTCAGTTTCTTCAGTTGCCCACAATTGATTTTTTTCGAACACCTTGTCAAAATAAGCTTCAGGAAGGTGTGCAATTCATGAACGAATTTATTGCAAGAAATGGGGAAGTGATAAATGGTAATAAACCAACAATTTATGTCCATTGTAAGGCAGGTAGAACAAGAAGTGCAACACTTGTTGGATGCTATCTCATGAGGGTATACTATAATGATTTTAAATAAATATATTATTGTAAACATTTCTAACTTTTAGAGGTATTCTTGGCCTCCAGAGAAAGCAGTTCATTTTATGATTGACAAAAGACCTCACATACTGTTGGGTGGTAAACAGTGGAAAGCACTTAACACATTTTATCAGGAAAATATCACTTCACAAACATCAGATTAATAAATATGTGTATTATTTATTATAAATTTAAATATTTAACTAAACACTTGTCTTCCATTGTATTTGTTTTAGCATAATTCCCTTAGTAAGGTACTGTTATTGTTTTAAACTTATATATTATATAAGAACAGTTGTGGTAGTTTTAAACAGTTATAGATCCATCACATTGATGGATTAAATATTTATTTATTTCATTTGTAAATGAAAATATTTAATTTTATCACTGTAATCAAATGTTTAATAAATTAAGAGGACATACCTAAACTTTAAAGAGTTTTATTCACAGGACAACTATATATGTGATTTACACTCATATGAAACTTAAGTTATTACTCAAAATTGCTTGGTATTTATGCACTCTTTGGATTCCACCCCTTTTTAATTGTTTTTCCTATTCCAATATTGGTGAAGTTATAGTACAAAAGGCCACCAAGAGTTGCAGCCGAAATTACATACAGAATTATAAGGCTTACTTTAGGAATTACTGGTCCAAATACAAGTGGTCGTACATAATCAACTACAACGGCTTCTAAACCCCTTAAAAAAGGACATTTCCTACTTAATTTCAATCTCAACACTTACTTTTTATAATTTATTTTGATTTCTAAGGATTAAAAATGTGTGTGTACAACCAAATTAGAGAAGCAACAAAAAATAAGTTTTACATCTTACTGGTCAGTATTTAAATCTTATATAGCTTCCATATTCAAATTCATATGATCAGTATTCTTTAGTGGTCAGTATTTGAATGTAAATGCTGACTGTTTAAATCAAAGAGGCCAGTGTTTATTAGAAAAGTAACTTACCAGTGAATATGAGCCACTGTTAGAACAGCCATTAAATTATCTGTTACTGCATTTGGGGAAATAATTCCATAAGGAACTACTCCCAACAACAGTAATGATATAGCCCTTTCAGCAGTCCACAATTTCCTGTGATCACTATCTGTGGAGGCATTTCGTAAAGCTTGCTTGTTTTTTACAACAGCTTGTGATAGCAATTGTTTAATATTTTTGTTTCTTGGTAGTTGATTGAACGACGTGAACTGTTTCTGTGATACCAGCTTAGTCAGATTTAGCTTATTTCCAAATACAATATTAGGACTTTTAAATGTACAAAGCCCTAAAAGATAAAATTTTTGTTATGTAACTAAAATTTTATTACCACAAGTAACTGTTGTTTTACCAATGCCTTTTGGAATATTTCGAGCTAATACACAAAACGACATTATTTAGTTTCGTTTGCTACACTAATAAAATACTTATTTCTTATTTATTTTTCTAATTACTCTTATATTAATTAATTACTAGTTGTTTGTTATGTATAACATAACCTTAAACCTGATTGGTATCTACTTTTCTTAAGTGATTGGTTGATAGATGGAGCAGCAGTAGGGAAAATACTAATTTTTAAGTTAGCCTGTCTACAAAAGATGGCTCATAAGTAGCGAGTTGGAAAAGTTTTTTGAATTTTAATACTTAGGCGCGTTAGTTATTACATTTTTACTAAAATTATGAGCCGTAAATTGTGAACTTAAGAGTGTTAACTCGTGAGTGAATGTAACTGTTCCCATTTGGTAAGTATAAATCAAAGTTTATCTAATATGCGCGTTTCGCAAAATTTGCGATAAACTTATTAGAAACATATCCATATCTGGAGTAATATTTAGGAAAGCTTTCTAATAAGCAGATACCATTTTTACACTTACTTAATTTACTAAGTTTACCACTTAATCAAATCCATCAGCATTACATTTTTAACTAAATAAAACTAACCTTGAGAAAGTCCAGCAACCTGGGCGAAACGTTGGCTGTGGTTTTCTAAACAAATAATGTACTTTCAACCCCAATATTGCTTTGATTTAAACAACTGAATACAAAATAGAGGAAGAATGATGAATAGATTTTACAATTATACATTTTTCAAGCAATGGGGGTTGTGGCTTCCCATTTTTTGGTCAAAGGGGACTCTGGTCCCTTCTACACCACCGGTTAAGTGACCCCCGTTTGGGTAAGTCTTTGATTCCTCTAACAGGAGATCATGATCTCTTACATCCCCACCGTCAGAAACTACGTTTAGGGGATGATAACGGCGTGGTATTAGGTTTCGAACGAGTTACATCCGAATTTTGAGAATTTAGGCAACAATGTTCGAAAAGTCTGCCGTGCGAGAACGTGTACTGTTTCATCAAGAAGGTATGAAGTAAGGAAGAAAGAGGGTTAGGATTTTGGGGTTGCGAGGTGTGTGCGCGCGGAAATATAAGACCACGCGCGCTTATGACGCAGTGGCGCAACCCAGCTCGATATCGAACGGGGGTCCGTGAGTGAAGACAGTCCGCGCCCGGCTATCGCTGCGGCAATGACCGACCTCAAATTGCAGCAGCAACATCTTCAGCACCAAAAACACCACCTCCACCACCATCAAATCACGATACTTAACACGGCGAAATGACCAGTCGAAGTCGCCATCGTTATCCCGCGTTGGTGCTTCCAGTTGCACTCGTTGTGCTACCGTTTCTGTTTATCCAATTGGGCTTTTGCACCTCCGAAGACGAGTACCATTTGAACGTGTCTTTATCAAGTGGTACCCATAACGATTCCGGACACCATGTCCGCGCCAAGGATCCGCTTTTTCCGAGCGATCTCTTCTCCATTGACCAGTTACGAAGCGGTGCCATTATCCTCCACATCCTGGGCATGGTGTACATGTTTGTTGCCCTCGCGATCGTGTGCGACGAGTTTTTCGTACCGTCTCTCGATGTCATCATCGAAAAGTTCGGAATCCAAGACGACGTGGCCGGAGCAACGTTCATGGCAGCCGGAGGTTCCGCACCCGAACTGTTCACAAGCATCATCGGCGTGTTCGTGTCTTTCGACGACGTCGGAATTGGTACCATCGTGGGTTCTGCCGTTTTCAACATCCTATTCGTCATTGGCATGTGCGCCCTGTTCTCGAAAACTGTTCTCACCTTGACGTGGTGGCCGTTGTTCAGAGACTGCTCTTTTTATTCGTTAAGTCTCCTCACACTTATATTATTCTTCAAAGACAACTACATCTACTGGTACGAAGCGCTCATCCTCTTCAGCTTCTATGCCATGTACGTGACCTTTATGAAATGGAACCACCCAATGGAACAATGTGTCAAGAAAGTGCTGTACAAGAACAAGGTGACTCGCGTTAGAAGTACTGATCAACTTATGCCCACAGTACGTAATGTTGTAGAAAAAAGGAGAGTGAGAAATTGGCAAGAGCAACGAGGAGCATTGCTCACTTTTGTACGATTTCTCGTTCTTCTTTTTTATGTTGAAAACCCACTCTTAGATGATGCACCAAAATCGAAATGCAATCGAACAAATGTCGTATGAAACTGACCGGTTGCTTTTCTAGAAGTCATCGGAAAGTTTAGGCATATCCTCATGTAGAAACTATTCCAAATACGATAAACCCGTTCCTGTCTGATCGAATACCGATAAGCGAGGATCTAATCGTTAGCCAATTTTTCATTTAGAATAGATGATCATTCACATGTTTCGTCGAGTTGAAGCGCATGATTTTCCATGTCAAACCTTCCACTATTTGTAGTACACCTAGATAACTATTTTTAGAAGGCCTTTGGTTTGTTGTAAACGTGGATCCATAAAAAGAAAAATAGAATCATCTGCTTTTATATGATCTTACAGATACAAGGCAATGTGGACTTGTTATGATACTGGCCGTTTTTATACATTTCTAATGATATTGTAGGAACAATGAGGTTCATTTTTAGTTCTGCAGCTAATTACTAATTGTAAAGCAAAAGGTATACAAGTTTTATGACGACATTTTAGGGCGAATTCAGCTCTTAATGTTGCGCATATATTTCAGTAAACCATAAAAATATTTATTATGGTATGACGCAACGGTCTTCAAGAAAGCGGAAGTCATTAGAGATTGTTTCGCGCTATTCGCGAACCCCACAATCAGTTAAAACAAATTTTTAATTTCCGATTGAGTTCGGATTTTTAGCAGATTATGAAGTCTGCTGTGACCCATCAACTATAATTCACTTTAGATGTACTCTATGCATGGTGGCTTATATAATACAACAAACATAAGGATATTCCATCAAAGGTCGTCATCATCTTTTGAAAAAGTCGACAAGGTATAGGGAAATTTGTATAAATACCTTCAGCCAACTTTTTATACAAATTGTAAAGTTCAATAAATGCAATTTAAGGTCTTGGATGTTGGATGTTATGCTTGATTCAAACGATTTTGAGAATTCAGTTAGTTTAGGGTGGTTCTCAAAGAAGCAAACAATATTTTTAAATAAACGCTTCCTTTTTATGTGCGGTGAAGACGCTGCCTCATCTGAGATATTTAAGATATAGGCTGGCTTCAGACTATGGAAATCAAAAAACGAATTATTCCATTGTCAGAGCCTCTTATGATAGGAATGATTGTAGTCATCGAGTTGATATTAATGTCAAACATGAAGATCTATGATGGAGTGGTCAGAAGTTGTCATGCCTCATGCTATGCAAATCTAAAAACTGTAATACGTTTTCAACCATCAGGGAGTGAAAAATTCACAGGTTTTATTTGTGATTCCATCATTTCTTATAACATGCTGTTAGGGTAGTTAATGTTTATTTTCAAACGAATTTTCCTTGATAATATTGTAGCAGGTACTGAATTACTAGCTTCATTTTGAGCTTTAGACACTCGTAAAAGATTAATGTATTATTTGTTCTTCGAGTAAAATCAAGACAATAAAAAAGGCATTAGGGCTGAATGGTGGAGGTCATATTTTTAACGAGAATGATGTGGGCATTTCGTGTTTGACAAGAAGCACGCAAGTTCATCTGAATTTTGTTTTAGTTGTTTACGAGATATGCAAATTGTGCATTATAGAACAGGTCAGGTAAAGGTAATCATTAGGTGGATTCTGTTTTCACTTTATTCCTTTGAATAATTGATTCGATACTTAAGACAAAGCTGCTTTAATATTAACATTATTTTAGAAAATGTAGATTATACCCTTTTTGTTAATTCTGAATAATGTATTGTCATAAAGGAGCGAATTTTTATGTATTTATTTATTTTGCAATATAATTACTTCACCATGTCACAAAGAAGTAATTTTTATGTTTTTATTTATTTAGCGTCTCAACAATGTCATAAAGAAATTGGATAAATGTAACTACTTGAATCTAATATTGAATATTGATTATACACTTTAGAACGATTAGCCAACAACTTAACTATAATAATTTAACAATAATAGAATAATAACTTTAGCCTACCTTATTAGACCATTGGGTAACGTAGATACGGCAGGGTGAGTGAAGACGGTAAGCCGTCTCACCACCCTGCATCATCGTGATTTTGAATTTGACCATCGATTCGACTCTCTGCTTCTTGACTTCAAGAATCATTGAGTATAAACATTGATTTCGATATTTAAACTGTTGCTAAATGGCTTACTAACACAGTAGGCAAATAGGTGTTAGCTTACAGTTTTAAGTAAACAATTTTGATGTACCAACTTCAGTCACCTGAATTTGAATTTATGGAACTATGTAACAGTACAAAAAGTGCAAGTCTCAAAAAAAGTATATATATTTTATTTTTGATTTGTTAAAGGTTCATAAGCTACTGCTATCTAACGAATGTGTGTAATATTCAGCTATTCTAGAGAAAGTGATTATTGGAGCAGAATTAATCAAATAATCCAGTTATTTTACAAAATATCTTGTTAGACAGGGATAAAGTAATAAAACACAATAAACTGTAGTTTATTCTGTATCGCAGGTGAAACTATAAAGATAATGTGACTGAATTTGGAAATTCCTATTAAAAAATGAAAAACAAAGAGCTTGTGAATTCTACAAATTTATTTGCAGCTTTACACGTGCTTCACCCCTTTGTGGCTTCTTCAGGAATTACAAATTAACATATAAACGTAATAACTATAATAATAAATTTGAGGAACTTATTAGGGTATTATCATTATTCTAGTCAGAGACATATTAGAGGCAGAAACAGGAGTTAGGAGGGGTAGAGGTAGACCTAGATTAGATTACTGTTCGCAAATAGTTAAGAATGTGGGCTGTTCTAGTTTTAGGGAAATGCGAAGTTTAGCTCAGGATAGGAAAGAGTGGAGGCGCGTGTCCAACCAGTCTTAGGACTGATGACCTTATGATGATGATTAGGGTATCGATTTATATAGATTAGATGGTAGGGAATTGATCTAACTGGTAATTAAGTATCTAGTACAATTTAAGTTAGATTCCTGGCCGTTTCATTTTTAAATTATGTAATTTTTTCCAGAGTGGCAGTCAAATAATTAAACAACTTTATGATTTTTGTAACGTTTCGGTTTATTCAACCATCTTCAGACTTTTGAAGTGTTACTGCTTGTACACAGATATTAACTTAAATTTAGACTTTATTTCATGTTAAACTACTGCATATTGCATACCAATAGTCAAAAGTCTGAAGCTGGTTGAATAAACCGAAACGTTACAAAAACTTAAAATTATTTAATTATTTGATCACCACCCTGGAAAAAAACTATGTACCTAGTACATTTTCATACTTACAATTATTTATTAATAAATGTAAAAATAAAAATTAAAAGAGTTTGTGGAAATTACACGTTTCTTGTTCTTAATTTCTTAATTTTTTGATATTAAAACGTTTGGAAAATTCGTATTTTTACGGAATACAGAAGAAAAGATTAAACGTATCTCTGTTATGGGCCGTCAAGATTTGTTTGTCTTATTTTAACGACATTCCTGAGCTTGCCGATAAGCTTTCGACGCTGACCTTACTTTCACTAGTTCAATCGCGGTTCTTATCGGAATAACATCTTGTGGTGTACGAATTGCTCTAACATTTTAACACGTAGGGTTTTGAAATAAAATGTGCGTTTTATCGTCTAATTTTGTGTCAATGCCAGCCAAAAAACGTTTTATACGCGAGTGAAAAGGACAGAAGGCGGTTTCGGTAGTTTCGTGTTTGCATTGTAATTTAGTTTTTGTTAGAAAATAAGAGACCCCACTTAAATGGTGAGTCAGACGTTAATTTTATGTAGCAGAAGGAATAATAATCATTTTACAGTAAGCATTCTTCACTGTTTTCCGTGTAAAAATCGTGAATGTCCTTTTTTTTGTAAAAATGACTGTTCTTGCTGATGACGTTTTAGTATAAAACATAATACAACCGAATTTTTGTGAAGATGATAGAGCTTTAGTTTTAAATTATTATTATTATTATTATCTTGGTCTTCTCAGTTTTCACTGGTAACTTTGGGCAAGTGAAAACGGGTTAATGCCAAAGAATCTCACTCACATCTTTTGTGGATATAATATGGAAAACAATTTTCTGTTCTTAAATTTTATAGAGCTAACAATACATCATGCCCTGAAATATGATCTGTGCTTATTAGAAACTCCGCTTCTTATATAACCTGTTGTGTTTTCTGAAAATTATTATTATTATTAATCCAGAAAAGTAATACAAAAGGACCTACAGAGGTAAAATGTAAGATACATTTAAAATTACAGAGAAAACTTACAGCTAAAATCTTTATGGCGAAAACGCATAATAAGAATCTTATAAATAATTAATTTTAGTAATTACATAAGATTGTACACGCTAATAGACAAGATTCTGTACAGGGTTTATACAATTTTAACAATCTTAGCACTGCTGGGTCCATTTTTTAAGTTTATTTTTTATTACTTCTTTGTAATTTCTAAGTTCTTTTGGAAGGCAGTTAAAATATTTATATGCCGTTGCCAAACAGCTTTTTTGTATAATCTTATTTCTAGTAACACTTTTAAATTTTATATATGTTGATTTTAATTCCCCATAGTAATGATCTAAGCAATTCAATATATAGGATTGCTTTATCGACATAGGCCATTTTACTACAGTTTTGTGAAATATTTTTACAATTTGTTTTTGCAAGGAATGTAAGGGATATAATACGTTATTGTAAGAACGTAGAAGAATTGCAAAAATGTTTTCCGACATGCAATATTTTAACTTGTGGAAGGCAAAAAGCAAGTTTCGCAATTTTTTAGCTTTATTAGTTAACATGATTTTCAAATCTCATTTTATGATTTATAGATACACCTAGATACATGTTGTCAGTTATTTTTTGCAATTCTCTATCATTAATATTTAAATTAATGTTCTCTGTAAAACTATTCTATTA